TACTCCTTAAACACAACTGGTATGTATGAAATGGCACCAATTTTGAATTCTCTGAGTTGGCAGTAGGACACTATAATATTTAAGTCATTTGTAGTCCTTCGGTCCTATCTTAACAATCTAGGGCGTTCAAAAGACAATGTGTATATGCAGAAATACCATTAGGTATACCTTATTTTTATTTGAGCTTTTAATTTTTCTTCCCAGCACCACCGACTAAAATGAATGTAGGAATATAGCTTAATTATTCATAACAGCCTTACTTCTAGTTTAGGAAATAGTCTTTTGGTTCTAAGGAATAGACACAATTTAACTTGGTTATATAGCAGGAACAAAGGATTAAAAAATTAAGGCAGATGCTACAGCATGTGGTGTCATTTACTCCTGGTCTCAGTAACAGTATTAGGGGGGAAAAATCACATCAATGTATCTATGCTCTAAAACTAATTATGGAAAGTCAGGCAATCACTGAAAAACTAAATGTAATCTAGAACAGTGATTCTCAACTCCAGACTGTAATTTAATTGATTGGGAGGAGCCCCAGGGTAGTACATAGAAGATTCCCAGGTGTTCCAATGTGGAGCCAGGGATGAAAACCACCAATCTAGGGTTAACAGTCCAAACTAGAGGTAATTCTATTTTCATTTTTCTTCCCAGCACCATTGCCTAAAATGAATGTAGAAATATAGCTTAATCATTAATAACAGTCTTACTTCTAGTCAAGGAAATAGTCTTTTGGTTCTAAGGAATAGACACAATTTAACTTGGTTGCATAGCAGGAACAAAGGATTAAAAAATTAAGGCAGACATTACAACCAGTTTTACACAACAAATTTAAGAAATACATGATGTGGCTTTTATTATATAACTGACTAGAATTGAAGATGAAGTGAAACCAGTAAGTTAAGGATGGGGGCTCATGCCTATAATCCCAGCACTCTGGGAGGCTGAGGTGGGTGGACTGTCTGAGCTAGAGGCTTGAGGCCAGCCTGAGACAGAGTGAGACCTTGTCTCTAAAACTACCCAGGCATTGTGGCAGGCGCCTGTAGTCCCAGCTACTCAGGAGGCTAAGACAAGAGAATCGCTTGAGCTCAAGAGTTTGAGGTTGCTGTGAGCTATGATGAGAGTGATACAGTGAGACTCTGTCTCAAAAAAAAAAAAAAAAACCTAGTAAATAACCGGGAGCTACAAGTCACACATGATGAAAGGGGAAGAAAAAAATGAAGGACAGTAATAAAGAAATGTTTTGGTGAGGAGAAATAAAATATGTTTTCTGTAAATGCTTACCGTCTGTCAGTCTGAGAATTTGAACCTTAAGACGTTATCTAGTTTAGAATCTTCTTTGAGAGAAATTATGTAACACGTCCAAGATCACCAAGGAAGCTATTAGTGGCAATACTGGGATTTAAACATGGAGGTGGTAACAATGGTTCATCTTACAAGATTATCAGTAAAAATTCACTTGATGTAGTGAAGTCTTTCCGCCATGCTCTGTTTCTATCAGTCCCATTGAGAACTATTCCTCCCACTCCTACCCCATTCACGAGAGGGGCTCACAACCCCAAATGCTGCCCATGTTTCTAACCAAGTCACAGAGGTTTCAATTTCTTTGTGTTGTGCAAAAGAGAAAGTGTCCCTGCCTGTGCCACATCTCTTTACTAGTCATTAAAATTCATTTTAATGAGCACGAGTATCCACTGACACATGAGGGAGGTAGGGTAAGAAGGGGCTGAAGTAATATCAGGTTGCTGAATCTAGGATGGCCTGCCAAGATATGTAATAATTATTCAAAACACAAATCTTGAAGTCTCAAGGGGATAGGAAACTGTTGGAAAGGGAGAGGATGTTCTGTATCTTATTTTTAAAACTTTAAACAATCTGCCACATAAAGTAAACCACTTATCTTTTATAAGATGCAAATTCCTAATGAAGTTTATCACATTTGATTGAACTACTAACCCAGGGAATTGATGCCTTTAAAATGACGGTGAAATTAAAAGTGCAGAAATAATTAATGCACCAATTATAATCCCAGGTTATATGCTTTATGATCTTAGATATACATGGGTCTCTATGAAAGTGTTGAGACAGACTGTGTTATAGCCCATTATTTCACTACCAAGAAACACAGTCAACAGTGTCCTTTCTGATTTACCCATGCAAGTTTCAACTTGCTCAGCTTATTGGTGGGTTGATGAGAAAGTATCAGTTCTGCCTGCATAGATTTTACATTTCTTGATTTTTGCATATCTCAAAATTTTTGTAATAACACATGCATCATATATAGTTTTGTTTTTTTTTTTGAGACAGAGTCTCAAGCTATCCCCCTGGGTAGAGTGCAGTGGCATCACAGCTCACAGCAACCTCCAACTCCTAGTCTTAAGCGAGTCTCCCGCCTCAGCCTCCCAAGTAGCTGGGACCATAGGCGCCTGCCACAAGCCCGGCTATTTTTTGATTGTAGCCGTCATTGTTGTTTTGGCAGGCTCAGGCTGGATTTGAACCCACCACTTTAGGTGTATGTGGCTGGCGCCTTAGCCACTTGAGCCATAGGTGTGCCTATAGTTCAATTTTTAAGTTTAATTTCACTTTAATTTTAAAGTGAAAATAGGACAGTTTTTGAGAACCTTAAAGTATAAATCTGCATCATCCTACTAATCTCAGCTTCTAAACTGCTCCCTTGAACATCATGGTTTGTTTGGTATAAAGTCTTAAAAAATACTTTGGCATTTGTTCACTTTTTTTTTTTTTTTTTTTAAAAAGAGAGTCTTGCTTGGTTACCCAGGCCACAATCATGGCTCACAGCAATCTTGAACTCTGGGCTCAAGCAATCTTCCTGCTTCAGCCTCCCAAGTAGCTAGGAGTATAGGCACATACTACCATGTCTGGATGTGTTAACTTTTTATTTTATAGTATTTTTATTTAAAATTAATCCTAA